GGCAGTGGGGAGGGACTTACCCGGTTGCGGGGCAGGGCCCAGCTGCACACGGCACACTCCTGGGCAAGCAAGCGGCGCAGGAAGGCCCGGTCCTGGCTCTGCCTCACAGCTTCTACCACATCCCCCAACTCATAGTTCCTGGGTGTTTCCTGCAGTAGCGCCAGTGCCAGCTCTGCCCGGCCCCAGCTGGGGAGTGCGTGGACTGCCAAAAGCCGTCTGACCAGGCTCTGCAAGGCGATTCAGGTGGAGAGGGAAGAAGTGGCTGTCAGACCGCAGAGAGCCTACCCCTCAGCCTGCCCTCAGCCCTACTAAGTGGGCTCTTCACCTCCTTCCAGCACCTGCTTATCTGGCCCGTCCCAGGAAGGGGTGGGCTCAGGACCACTGTCCCAGAGGCGCTGATGGAAGGGTTCTAGGCGCTGGCGCTGTAGCTCAGTCAGGGCTCGTGCCACGTCACCTCCATGTTGGAACAAGGCATGAAGAGACCCCTCCTCAGGCTCAAAGCCCAGGGACCGGAGCTCCTGCACCTGTGAGTTGGGAGGGGTGAGAAGGAGTGAAGAAGAATGTGAGAGGCTCTGAGATCCACAGCCCTCAATCCTGCACCCGCTCCAGCACAGCTGCTGCTACCTTCCTCCGCCGGGCCCGCACACACTCTTTCACAGCTTCATCCAGGTTGCCGTGACGATCCAGCCAGGCATTCCGGGCCTCCTGACAGGAAAAGGCACCCAGCCTCGGGTCCTGCTGTCCAGCCAGCTCAGCCACCATCTCCAGCACGTAGGGCAGCTCTGAGCGCAGCCACTGCAGGGGCACCTCGGTGCCCGAGTACTGCAGAGCTGAGAAGACCTCCTCTGGACAGGCGCCTCCGGCTTCCCCTTCCTAAGGCACAGTCCCGCCCAGACAGGGCGCCCATCAGGAAGGGCACACCCCACCCACCCTTAGCCCGAACCAAAATGCTGACAGTGCTCGAGCTGTCATGGATCATGGATCACGTGAGCAGGACACAGCATGATGCCTGCCGTGGGGGAAGGGTTCAATAAAAGGCAGCTGCTGCTAACAATGACAGGTTTTGAGAACTTGCATCAATCAACTGCAGCCTCTCTCTTCCCCCACAAGCTTATCCCAGGCCCAAATCCTCACCCGGATCTTGAGCACTAGCTGGAGACCTTCCTCCCGCATCTTGTCTTGGCGCTGCTTCTCAAGGTCCCCACAGGAACTGGCCAGGGGGGCACTGAGGCGTCGTGGAGGCCCTGGTTCAGGGAGTTGCTCTTCCAAAGAGCTGGCAAGGGGCTGAGGGGTATGCTGTACTGGGTTGGGGCTGCTGGTCCGGTTGCACATAGCACACACCCAGCCAGGGCCTGAGTTGCAGAAGGTACAGTGAATGCAGTACCACACTGGAGTCTGGGCAGAGGAGAGCAAAGTATCCTCCTGCTGGGAAGGCAGAAAGAATTATCCCACTGAAGGTTGGCTGAGGCTCAAGATGGAAATATAGGAAGCTGGGGGGAAGATACCGGGGAACTGAAGGAAAATAGGGGATGAAGAAGTAGAGAATGGCCTGTGGTAACAGGTGCAAATAAAGAGCTGAGAAGGCCAGGAACAGGTTACCTGAAGGGGCTGCAGGCAAACGCCGGCATCCTGAGAATCCACTACCAAGCTGGGAGGCTGAGCCAGCCGAGGTCGCTCACACATGGCACACAGCACAAACACAGCCTCATTCTCAAAGGTGCAGCTCTGGCAGGCCCAGTGACCCCGTGCAAGCTCGGGTTCTATGCCCCCAGCTCCTTGGGGACCCTCAATCCCCAGCCCCAACCCTTTACAGCCTCGGGGCCGATCACAGGCCACACAGAGTACTGTCCAAGGTTCATTCAGCATGGCGCAGGCAGAACAGTGCCAGGGAAGACGGGCACTTGCAGGATCAGGGGAAGAAACAGAGCTGTCTCCCAGGGCCGGCAGGGAGGTTGACTGAGGCTGTGGTGGAGCTGAGGCAGGTAAGCTGTAATGGAAAAGCAGACACAGCCTGCTGAGGGGGTGCCTGGGACCCTTACCCATGGGCATCCCTCATTCCCTGCAGGACAACACATGGCTCTGGCCTTTGCACATGTCTGGAACACTGCCATACCCATAGCCTCTTCAACATTTAAATGACAGCCTAAAGTCCATATCTGGCTGGTAAATATCCCTAACATAGGGTCTGACCCCTATTAGGTGCTTAAAATATTACCAACTGATTGAGTTGATCCTTCTGACTAAGCTGCATCCTCCTACTACCTATCTGCACACCCAAATAATCTATTTTGCTATGACTGCTACTTGCTTGACATGTATATCTATGATCTCCTGGAAGGCAGTAACTGGCTGCTTGCTCTCTATGAGACAGTCTTTAGCACAGAATCCAGCACATAGTAGATACTCAAATAATTTTAAGTTCTCTCAATTTCGCTCCCACTCAGGAGAAAAGGCCTCTCACTTGGGGGTCAGGTGGGTGGCCTGGGGGGCCACAGGCAGGGTCTGGCGGAGGTGATGTGCACGGTCTGGGTGTCCATGGAAGAGGCAATCACAAGTTGGGCACAAGCCCTGTTTACAAGCTAAGCAGTGCAATGTGCCTGGAGCAGAACCACAGAGGAAGCAGGGACCAGGAATGGAGGCTGGAGAACAGGAAAAAATAGAACATCTTTCTAAAAAAGACCAGGTTACATTTGAATCTGCTGTGGAGGGGACAAATCACAGACAACTTTTCAGCATATTTTTTCAACCCAAGGAAACAATTTTAATCTATACAAAAGGAAGATAACCAAGAAGACAGGAAATTTCCATCAGTATGATCTACTAGCATTCCCACCCCCCAACATAGGACAATAATACCTGGGGCAGAGGGTGTGGTGAGGGGGCCAGGATCAATCTCTCTCAGTAAGGGGGCAAACTCTGAGAGCTGCAGTATCTGAGGAAAAAGGACAGGGAATGAGCAAGGGCTTGGGGACAGAGGCCCACAACAGGTTCCCTTTGTTCGCCAGGCCCCAGAGCCCCATTCCTGCCTTCCTTACATCATCTTCAACCTTGTCTTTCAGCAGCTGCTCCAGTGCTTGTGGTTCTGGATGAGTATTCTGCAAACAAGGTAAGAGGAGTTCCCACCTAGAGCCCTGGAACAAGGCCCTCCCTCAAAGCCCTGGTCCCCCAACGTTCACAGTGTGAAAAGTACAGAGAGATCCTAAGTTACTGTGGGGACTATGCCTATGGTTCAGCAGCATGGGAGTCCCCACACTGGCTTTGTTGTTAGGCTGGGACTAGAGATACCTCACCTGTAGCAGCAGGCTGAGCTCTGTCCGAAGCAGCAGTACTTCCAGTGTGACTGTAGCAACTTGTTGCTCATCCGGCTCCTTCTGGCCCTCAGGGAAGCTCAACCCATCTGGCTGCTCCTCTGTGTAGCCATACAATCGCAGAACATCCCGGCCCCCCTGCCACACATTCAAACCAGTCACCGCCCAGCAGGTCCCCTTCCCAATAGGGCTGGACCTCAAACCATTCAGCACAGCCTCAGGCCCTTTCTAGTCAATCCCCAGCCCAGGCTAAGTTCCCTTCTCCCATTAGGGGCCCAGGGGCTTCACCTGAACAGCATCCACCGTACTGCGAAAGACAGGGTTATTAAACTTGACCCCGCGCCAGTACCGGGGCCGCTGAGGGCTGAGGAGGTTGCGGCCATATTTCTCCAGGATGTTCAGGGCCGTGGAGAGGGTGTTGAGGTAGTTTCGGGGCTGCGAGCAGTCAGAGAGCAGAGAGCTGTGAGCCCCAACCCGGCCTCAGGTCCTCTGTCCTCCTCCCAACCCGGGCCGGGCCTCACCTCCCCATGAGCGTTGCAGCGGACCAGGCGTGCAGCATCCAACTGCAGGTAGCGGGCTGCTGGCGGCAGAGAGGTGACCAGTAGCGGCCGGAGCTGCTCCAGCGAAAACGCCTGCCCGGAATCCTTCCTCAGGGCGCTCGCCAGCTCCTCGCGGGCCGCCAGGAAGGCCCGCTCCTCCTCCTCCCCCGGCATCCTGAGACAGGAGTCAGCCCCAGCCCGCTGTCCGACGGGACCCGGCGCAGGCTGTGCGCGGTCCGAGCGCCGCCAGTAGCGCCTGGGGTCTGGCTTCGCGGCCCGACCCGGTCGGTTCGGACGCCCCGGGTCACTCACGGCACGGTCACTCTTCGGCCCCGGGCCCAACGCCAGGGTTAGCGGGAACAGGAAGTACTAGGAAAGAGGGCGGGACTGCAACCCAAATTCAGGGGAAGGGGCGGGGTCTAAGCTTGAGGAAGGGCGGAGGCCAAGAAATCGGGGGGCGTGGCCCAGGGTCCCAGCCAATGATAATGATAAATAATCCATGGCTCCTCCCCCAGAGCGCCTAGGCAGCAAACCCTGTTCTGGCGTTCTTCCCCTCCTTGGTCCAGGCTGGTCCCACCCCTCTCCGGATAGACCCTGGTACGGGGTTACTTTACTCCCCTCAAAGCCCTCCTCTCTATCTGGGACCCCACAGGGGAAATCCCACTCAGCTGGGGACTCAACTCTGGCCGGCCTGAGCCCCACTCAAGCCCCTTCTCCAGTCAGTCTTGAAGATAGGGCGCCCTCCGGGAGGAAGCCCCCGCGCCTTCTCCCTTCCTATCCTCTGTCCCTTCTCCCTCCTACTACTTCTCCCGCCCACTCTGATCCCTCTCTGGCCCTTCCCCGCAGTCAAGCCTTCCTGGGGGAGCCCCACCACTTAACACCCCCTTTCCCACTCTCCCACCCTTCTCACCCCAACCCTGACAGTCCTTGGACGGTTCTTTCCCCCTCTCTCTAAGCCCCTCCCCTTCTCCGAGGGACAGCCCCTGTTCAATCTCCGCCGGTCCCACTTGTCCTAGCCCCTCCCCCGGACAGCCCCTGGGTTTGTGACCGAGTCAGCACCGCCTCTTCTAGTCTCACAGGCCGAGAATGGCAGAGGGGCTCCTTACGGTTTGCGGCCTTCCAGGGGGAGGGGGAAAAGAAGGAAGGGGGTGGGGCTGAGGGGGCGGGCCTGGACGTGGGGAGTGAAAGCGAAAGCCCAGGCGGCGAACAGGGAGACCGGAGACCTAGCAGCAACTGGAGCAACATGGCCAAGCCTTGTGGGGTGCGCCTGAGCGGGGAAGCCCGCAAACAGGTAACGGGGGACCGGGAGGCCAGGAAGGCGCCGAGGAGCCCTCCTAAATGGAGGCCAAACTGGGTGCTCCGAGGGACCAAGGCCGTGCCAGAGAAATCTCCCAACCTCTCTAAGTGCTTTCACTTCTGCCCGGGGATTACCAGATTCCTGCCCTCCGGACAATCTCTGCACTGAGCATGGGCTTCCAGGGGAAGTCTGGCATGTGGTGGGGAAGGACTGAGCCAAGTTGGAGGGCATCCTATTGGGGGTGGGATCTTACTCTGGACAACTGAGACTCTTAACCAACATCCGGGTACCGCTCTCTGTGCAGGTGGATGTCTTCAGGCAAAATCTTTTCCAGGAGGTAAGTCTTCTGGATTCAAGCGATTTGACCCAGAATCTTAGGCCAATACTTGAGGGTTGCAACTTCTCAGACTGATCCCCAAACCCACCCTCCATCCGCGCCTTACTTCACTTATTAAGCCTCCATCTAAGATAAGCTCTTAATTATTGATCTCTGCTTTTACCTGTACCCCTCTTAATACCTTCTGCACTTCCACCACTTCCTCTCCCCTCTTTTGGTGTGGAGGGAAAAGCCATGGCCCCAAAGCAGGAATACCACAGTTCTAACCTTGGTTCTGCTGCATCCCAACTTGGGGAATTCCCTTCAATTTTCAGGGCTTCAGTTCCCTCATTTATAAGTACTGGAGTCAATGATTTCCAAGGGCCCTTCCAGTCCCACTTCTCAGACATCTCACTGAACGTCTTCTGTGATTCCGACCCTTGCAATGTAACCCACAGGCTGAGGAATTCCTCTACAGTTTCTTACCTCAGAAAATCATATACCTGAATCAGCTCTTGCAAGTGAGTAGTGTGGACCCCTCCTGCCCCATCCCATGGCCTCTCTCCTCTCCATCCACCCTCTCTAGCTAACAACTGGGCTCCGAATGCAGAGAACAGTCGCAAATGGTGGACTGGGAACATTAGGATAGTGTGAGGCCTGAGCCTAGGTTAGGAGGCAGAGGTTGGGTGGGATGTGTGGAGGAAAGGCTCTGACTCAGGATGAGGGGAAGAGGTTGGGCAGCCCCTGACAGTGAGCTCTGTGCAGGAGGACTCCCTCAACGTGACTGACATGACTTCTCTCCGGGCCTCGCTGGACATCCCCATCCCAGACCCTCCACCCAAGGATGATGAGGTGAGGCACTCATGGTGTAGGGCTTGGGCTATAAACCCAGTGTAAGTGGCCCTCCAACCTCCATGACTTTTCTAAAGCTACTTTCCCCCTTTTTTCCTTAGATGGAAACGGATAAGCAAGAGAAGAAAGAAGGTAAGAGAGGAAGGGGTGGCTAGGAAAAGGGAAATGGCACACTGACTACTGGATGAGAAAGGGTCTAAGTCCCCTCTTTCTCACAGTCCCTAAGTGCGGCTTTCTCCCTGGGAATGAGAAGGTCCTGGCCTTGCTTGCCCTGGTTAAGCCAGAAGTCTGGACTCTCAAAGAAAAATGCATTCTGGTAAGCCTGGGAACTGGGGGACAGAGAAAACGAGCAAGGCCAGGCCCTGGTCTCCTTCAGAGATTCAATTCCTTCATTTAGGAAACTATTCCCCAAATAGGAAGCTTCCTTCTGTACCTTGGGTTTAGATACCTTTTGTTCTCTATCACAATGATATCCCCAAATTAGACTGTGCTACATCCACCTCTATAACCTGAGAACCTACTGCTGTACCAGGTACAGAGTACAGATGCTATGATACAGTGAGTTGGTTTAAGAACTTGGGCCCTAGAGGGAGACTGCCTTGGTTCAAATCCTGACTCTATCACTTACCTAACTGGTTACTTTAAGTAAGTAACTTAGACATCCTGTGACTCAGTTTTTTCATCTGTTAAGTGGGTACAATAAGAATATATACTTTGAAACAAGCAAAAAAAAATATATATATATATATACCTTGAAAGGTTGTTGTGAAGATTAAATGAGATATATAATACATAGCACAGTGCCTGCCATATAATAAGTACTCAGTTAAATGTACCTATTATTAGGAAGTAGCAGAGGGTTAATCAGAATAGAGGGTTTGTTGAATGATTCCTACATGATATCTCTTAATGTAGGTGATCACATGGATCCAGCACCTCATCCCCAAAATTGAGGATGGAAATGACTTTGGGGTGGCAATCCAGGTGAGAAAGGGTGTGTGAGAATGCTGACAGCAGGGAGAGACTTGGGGAGTAAGGGATAGGAGCTAGACAAGAACTGGGAGGAGGAGGGAGACGGTGAGTGAAGCAGGGAGGAGATGAAGGGTTGTCTTTGCTTTCCATTCTTTTGTCTCCACAGGAAAAGGTGCTGGAGAGGGTAAATGCAGTCAAGACCAAAGTGGAAGCCTTCCAGACAACCATTTCCAAGTAAGGACAGCTGGAAGGCCAGCGCCGGGGTCTGCAGGGACATTTCTTTGGGACTCCCAAAGCTGGGCATGCCTATCGGATGAAGCGGTGCTTTGGGAAGGGTCTGAGGGAGTACCTGTCTCTGAACATCCATTCCTGTGGTTACTCCTCTTGCTTCTGGCAGGTACTTCTCAGAACGTGGGGATGCTGTGGCCAAGGCCTCTAAGGAGACCCATGTAGTAAGTGGACAGTCCACCAGCCTTTTAGCTGAGGCTGCTGGGGATGGGGGGTGTTGAGAAAGTGGGGGATAGAGGTCCTCTTTGTCTCATTTGTGACCTTCCCAATGTGGAGAATATTAAGCCCAGGAAAACTGATTTAGGCTTCAAAAACCTTGACCCCTTTCTCTGTTTGATCCTCTGGGATCCCATTTCTTGGCTGAGAAGGGGCTCATTCCTCAAGTTACCTATTCCCTGTATGAGGAAACCAGACTAATGTCCCAACCTTCCATGGGGCTGACTCAGCTTTGCCTTCCACATCCCAGATGGATTACCGGGCCCTGGTGCACGAGCGAGACGAGGCAGCCTATGGAGAGCTCAGGGCCATGGTGCTGGACCTCAGGGCCTTCTATGTGAGTGTGGAGTAAGCCCCTAAGGGAGGTGGATGAGGGGCGCAGGGGAAAGGCCAAGAACCTGACTGTTGCCCTCTGGCCTTCTTCCAGGCTGAGCTTTACCATATTATAAGCAGCAACCTGGAGAAAATTGTCAACCCAAAGGGTGAAGAGAAGCCATCTATGTACTGAGCCCAGGGTTAGAAGGGAAATAAATGACCTATACTTTGTGTGGATAACCTCTGGTGTGTGTCATTCATTCAAAGACATTTACTGAGTGTCGCCTATATCCAGACACTAAATGTGAATGAATGTGGTGATGAGAAAGGGAGGGGTGCCAGGAAGACGAAGATGAATTAAAGGTGCATCCTGTTCTTAGGAAGTCATCCTAAAGAACAGGGTGGGAACTGTTACATGCCATGACAGCCATGAAAATAACCTGTATTGGGGAATTTCACAAGATTATTTCCATCTGGAGGTGTCATGAGTGCTTCCTGGAAGAGATGGCATCTGGGCAGAGCCCTTATAGGAATAATCAGGCTTTGGAGAGACTGGGGGAAAGCTCTGAGGCTGAGGTCAGGGAATGAAGAAAGGCACAACCCTTTCTTCAGCTCAGAGCACACCTGGAGGGAGAATGAGATTTCACTGGGAAAATTATGGGTAAATGGTTGGACTCCTTCTCAAGGGCTGGGAGGGGCAAAAACGCTTCCAAGGCATTAAGGCGAAGGAAATTATACTACAGGACATTATGGGAAGGATGGTTCAATAAAATTCTTTTTGACCTTTACCCTCCTCCTTCAGCCAATGCCGTCTTTGTTTCTGCAGTCATTACATTGAGGAAAGGAAGGGCCAGATAACCTGCAGTTGCAAAAGTGACACGGCTTATTAGTAAGTGACAAAGCCGCTCTAGAGTACCAATCCACTCATTCCATAGTTGGAGCCAAGCTGTCCGCTACGTACCGACATTCGAAGCTCCGCGTTTCGGGGAGACACCAGATGAGGGGCGCGGGCACCACCCAGGTGGCACAGCGGGGCCTGTAGGGGCGGGAGGCAGAGGTAACAGACGCAGCCATCTTGCAATCAAGAGCCGAAGTGGGGTAGCCTAGCCAATCAGCGTGCGGGTAGCTCTCTACAGTCAAAGGCGGGACAATGTTGGATGCTGATTTGGCAAAACGAGACTCTCTAAGCCTATCAAAGAGCACCACGTGGGCGGGACTCCAGAAGCCGGTCCGACTTGGAGCTCTGGTTATGTGTCCCCAAGGCAGGCGCGCAGCTCTGCTGCCGCCGCTTGGGGGCGGGGGAGGCGGAGCTCTGTGCTGCAACATGCAATCCCGGCCGCCTGCATTCCGGGCCGGGTGGGGGCCGGGGGCCGGGCGCCGGGCTGAGGTCTGCCGGAGCCGGCGGGCTGCCTTCGAGTCAAGTCAGCGTCACCGTCGAACCTAAGTGAGGGGGCACGGGGAAGGGCCCAGGAGGGCTTGGGGGCGCTGGAGGGGGCTTCGCGGACGCGAGCTGGGGCCCCGCTCGCCATGGGGGAGGTGGAAATCTCGGCCCGGGCCTACGTGAAGATGTGCCTGCACGCCGCCCGTTACCCGCACGCCGCTGTCAACGGGCTATTGCTGGCGCCAGCGCCGCGGTCGAGAGAATGCCTGTGCCTCACCGACTGTGTGCCCCTGTTCCATAGCCACCTGGCCCTGTCTGTCATGCTGGAGGTCGCCCTCAACCAGGTGCCGCCGCTGGACGCCCACCGACCACCGCGAACCCCCCCAACACCCCTAGCCCAAGGCCAACCCTGGCCTCTTGGCAGTAGTGCGCACCCATAGGGCGGGCGGCACGATTTAGTTACTGACGGCGCTTTCCCATGGCAGGTGGATGTGTGGGGCGCGCAGGCCGGGCTGGTAGTGGCAGGGTACTACCATGCCAATGCAGCTTTGGACGACCAGAGGTGAGTGGGGAAGCCAGAGGCAGAGGGCTAAGGATTATGGGGTGGGGGATGTCAAGAGAGCCCCTCTTGGTCATTCCTTCCATCTTTCCTTCATCCAAGGCTTAGCCACTGTAGAGCTAAGGTACCTACTAGGCTGGGTAGGCGGTGAGAAAATATAAAGAAATGTTATTTTCCTGGAGGAGCTGCGGTGGGGTGGGAAGGACAATAACAGGCTGACACCTGCTGTAACTGAGATGCCCCCCAAGTGCTGAAAACACAAAGGAAGCCCAACCAGCAGCTTCTAAAAAAAGGAAGTTTCTTTTTATATATACAGTTCACCGTTTAACAACACCGGTTTCAACTACCTGGGGCCACAAATAGGCGAACTTTTTTCACTGAATAGGTACTCCGGTACTACAGGATCCGAGGTTGGTTGAATCCCGATGCAGAATCCAGAATAGGGAGGGCGCACTGTAAAGTTACCTAAAGATTTTCAACTGCGGGAGGCTCTGTGGCCCCTAGACCCCTCATTGTTCAAGGGTCAACTGTATACAGAAAAAGTTATCTACGTATACAGTAGTCATGTATTTGGAGCAAATTATACTGTTTTGTAATTTGCTTTTCTCTCCTTAATAAATATCTGACATCTTTCCATCCCTACACTAATATCTACCTTACCCTATCAGCTATACAGTATGAACATGGATGTACCATAATTTATTTAGTGCCTTACATTAAACATTGAGGTTGTTTCCAATTTTTTTTTTATTACAGACACTGTCCTATTATTACAGTAAATTCTTCGTTAGCAGGGTTTCTGGGTTAACATACAATATAAATCTGGATGGTTATGCCAAAGTACTCTCCAAAAAGACCATCTTAGATTTCCACTCTCACCAGCAGTGTCTGAGCACCTGTTTCCCACAGCGCTCAAGCATAAGTCTTGCACGAAGCAGTCAGGCAGGCCTGATGCCCCCAGGCCAACTACAGGGAAAGGCCGTCACTGCCTCCACGTCTATGGGCTCTGGGAGGCCCAGCTCAGATGGATGGGGTCTGCCCACAGGAGGCTCTTCACAACTCTGATCTTCCTTCTACACAGCCCTGGGCCCTCGGCCTTGAAAATCGCTGGGCAGATTGCAGAATTCTTCCCTGATGCAGTACTTATTATGGTGAGGCTTGGGTTTCAGAGTGGGGAGTTGGAAAGAAAGTAGGAATAGGGAATCCTCAAAACCCTCACCTGCCCTTCCTTGTCCACACAGTTGGATAATCAGAAACTGGTGCCACAGCCTCACGTGCCCCCAGTTATTGTCCTGGAGAGCCATGGTCTCTGCTGGGTCCCCAAGGACAAGAACTTGTGAGTGCCCCACTCCCTCCACCTCTTCTTGGAAGCCCACAGCTCCTGAGCCTCCTCTGTTTTTGGTTCTGCCCTAAGCGTCCTTCTCTAGAAACTAACCTCTGCCAAGTGTCTGGCCCCTCTGCCTGCTGAGTTTGACCTCCATGGGGGTTGTTATTTCAGAGTGATGTGGAGGGACTGGGAACAGTCACGGCAGATGGTGGGAGCACTACTAGCAGGCCGGGCCCACCAGCACCTTGTGGACTTTGACTGCCACCTTGATGACATCCGGGAGGATTGGACCAACCAGCAGCTCAACGCCCAAATCACCCAGTGGGTTGGTCCCACAAATGGAAATACCTGAGCCAGGGCCAGAGGGGAGGCTCAGGATCCAATAAAGAGACTTGGGCTGTTGGGCGATGGTATGACTAGATTTATTGTGCCTGGGAGGCAAGGTGAGGGAGAAACCTCAACAGACAGAAGGTGGGGAAAGTCTGGAGTCTCCTGTGAAAGTCAGGAAGGTCTCTGCTGGACCAATCACAGAATGAGAGGAGGCTCTCAATAGATCATTCCCTTTGTTTCTCCCCTGGGCTTCTTGAGCTTCTCGAAGTTCTTCAGGATGATGTCATATAACACAGCCTATGGGGCCAGGGAGGAGTGGGGGTCAGCCGCAGGTCCCCAGTGGCTCTGTGCCCCATTTCTTGCCTTGTGGAGAGGTTGAGCTTTGATACCCTTCACCCCCAGCCCGCAGGGTCAGGGAGTGGGTGGCCTGGGAAAGCTGCCTCTGCCCACCCCTGCCCTCGCCTCCTCACATAAGCGTTGCGGATCTCCATGACCATCAGCCGGATATCCCAGTACTCTGCCTCATCCAGTTCGTGCACCAGCTGCCGATAATCACCCTGTGGGAGACTCGGGTCAGGCCTGACTTCAAAGGTGTCCCTCCTCCCATGCACCCTGACCTGGGCCTCACCTACCACGTGGGGCTGCTTAGCCGCTTTGGTCACAGCATCACCTCGCTCAGAGAAATACCTGTGGGAAGTAGAAGGGTGTGGAGTAGGGGGAGGAGGGAGCACAAGCCTCAGTCCCAGCCAAAGGCAGAGCAGTGGGCAATCACTCACTTGGAGATTTGAGTGTGGAAGCCTTCCAGCTTGGTGTGAAGGGTGGTCATCAGTTCAAACACCTTCTCCTGAGGAAAGAAAGCGAGGAGGAAAGTGTAAAAGCAGCATGGATGGGAGAAATAAGGAGGGCAGAGGAGTGGGGCAGTGTCCTCACCTGGACAGCCACTCCAAAATTGTTCCCATCCTCAATCCGAGGTATCTGCAGTTGCAACCAGGTGGTGACCTGGGAGGAGGGAACGGCATTGAAACCCCATCAGCCCCCAACCCAATTCCCAGGTTCCTGTCCTCCTTTGTTTCCCTGCTCACGGTGGGTGGAAGTATGCCACGTCTGTCCTGAACCCCAAAGCCTGGAATTCTGGCTTCACTTGCTGTGCCCTCTCCTGCTAAGACCTGGCAGGTGCCATGCCCAACTGGCAGGGACGAAGGAGGACAAAGGGTGGGGGTGGAAGTGGGAGGGCTCACCAGGTTGAGCTTCTCAATGACATCCTTGATCTCAGGCTTCAGGCGCTGCAGGAGGACCACGATCTTCTCATTGCAGTTCACTGGGCCACAAGGAGGACCTAGGAGGTGGGCACTGGGTCAGTCACATGACTGGGACCGTGCCGGGCAGGGAAGAGGCATCCTTAGGGAGGAGCTCCTGGGAGGTGAGACACAAGTCCCTTTCACCATAGTGATACCTTTGTCTTCATCTTCCCCTTTCTTCTTTTCATCCTTGTCTTCCTTCTGTAGGGAGAAGGGGTCTCTTAGGCAGGCCTAAGGCTGATTTTCCCCATATTGGGTCCCTCCTCCCAGCTCCTGCCAACTTGCCTCCTGTTGTTTCTTCCGCTCCTCCTTCTCTTTCTCCTTGACTGGATCAGGCACTGGGATGTCCAGCGGGGCCTTCAGATTGCTCAGGTTGGCTTCATTGAGAGCTGGCTCCTGGTGCAGGGGGGTAGAAGGGCTGGAGGCAGGGGCGGGCTCTCACCTCCTCACTCTCATGGCCCAGCAGGCTCTCCCTTTGGCCCCTACTCTCTACTCCCTGCCCAGCCCCAGTACCTTTAAAAATGCATCCAACTCAGAAATCTTCTTGGGGAAATAGCTCCCGAGCAGGTTCTCTGTCTGTGTGTATGGTAAGGGTAGGGGAGGATGGCGGTCAGAATCAAATGCCCCTCCTAGGCAGTGAAGCAGGGCTGCCACTGCCCAGCAAGGAAGGGCTGAGCAGTGGGACTGGGTAGAGACGGGTGGGGTGATGACGGGTCAGGTCTTACCTTAGCACATAGGTCTTCACGGAACACATCCACCTGTGGGACACAGGCAGCCCTTCAGACAACTGGCTTTATGGCCAGTCTATTCAAGGACTCAAGGATCCTTAGGGCTGTGTAGGGTCTGACTTGGGGAAGGGTGGAGTGGACCCAGGTGGGGCGGGATTTGGGAAATGAGAACATTCCTGGAGCTGAAGGGCGAAGGGTTCAAGCGGAAACATCCCTAGTGTCTCCTGGGCTGTGGGAGGAGGGATGTAAGAGAGCCGCTGCGACTGGGGAAGGGGCGGAGTGCCCCGTGGAGTGGGCTCCGGGGCCTCCTGTGGTGGCAGGGCAGGGTCCGCTCCCAGTCTGTGTGTGGGCCTGGGCCCGGGGCCAGCGTACTTCCCCTCCACGCCAGCGCTCCGCTTCACCTCACCCCGCTGAACCTCGGCCGCCTCGCCTCTCTCTCTCCCGGCAGGCAGACCTGGCCGGGCTCCCCGGGCTCAGGTGCTCTGGGCACGGAGGCTCACGAGGGTTCGGATGACTGACCCCGACTCGAGTCGGGGGGCTGGGTGGGAGCGGGTCACGGACGCCCTCAGCCTCTCGGGGCCACGCCTCCCTGATGGGCCCTTCCTCGAACCCGCAGCGCTCACCTTGGCTTGGGCTTCGGGCAGGACCCTGAGCGTGGCCATGGCCGGGGCGGCGGCCTAGGGCCGCACGCGGAGCGAGGAGTGGGCACGGGGAAGGGAAAGCGAAAGCAGCACTCGCTCCCCGCACTGCCCTCCTGGGTAGTGGGAGTGGAGGCACTGGAGGAGGCGGGGACAGACCAGAGAAAGGCTAGGAGCTGAGGGGCTCAGGGAGGCGGCCCAGCCGCGGCTCCCCCTAGAGCCCGAGAGGCGCGTTTCCAGCGCCCCGCCTCCCCGCTTCCCCGCCTCCCCACCGCTGCCAGTCTTTCGGCTCCCCGCCTACCGACTCCGCCCACCCCACCTCCTCCCTCCCCGCCCTGCCTTCTACGCCCCCGCCTCCCCGGCCCCAAGGCCAGTGCCCACCTCTGAACTCCCCGCCTCCCCGCCTCCCCGCCTCCCCACCGCTGCCAGTCTTTCGACTCTCCGCCTACCGCCTCCGCCCACCCCCCCTCCTCCCTCCCCGCCCTGCCTTCTACACCCCCGCCTCCCGGCCCCAAGGCCAGTGCCCACCTCTGAACTCCCCGCCTCCCATCTCCCTGCCTCCTGACAGCCCTCTGGCTCTCTTCTTTCCCTGCTCGTCCTGGGACAGTGATTAGCCTTATCTGGCTCTCTTCTTTCTTTTCTCGGTGCTGGAGCAAGACCTGGCCTCCCTTCCTTTGCCCTGCCAGCGTGGACCCCTGGCTCCGCGGGCATCATCTGGCTCAGTGACATTCAGACTCTGGCATCGCCCCATCACAGGGTCATAAGAGAGGGTCAGCTCTCTTATGACCCTTGTGGGCTCCATTCCTCTGTAACCCACTCTCCGCACAGCAGCAGGATTCCACCTTGCTCTTGCTTAAAACTTTCTCGGCTTCCTGTTGACCTTAGGATGAAATCCAAAGGACTTTCCTGGCCCAAAAGGCCTGTCTGGCACCTGTTCCCCTTCAACTTCACTTTCCACTGCTTTCTCCCTCTTTCATTTCAGTTATAAATACCTGGACTTTCCAGCTGTTTCTCAAACCTGTTTGCAACAAGTTCATTCCTGCCTCAGGGCCTTTGTCCTTGCTAATCCCTTTGCCTGATACTCCCCTTCCCCTGCCTCAGGATGTCATTCCGTTCTCAGCTTAAATGTCACTTCTTCAGAGAGAACTCTATCTTCCTTATAAAGGAACTCCCTCCAAGTCTATTAGAAAGCAGCCTGTTTTAGTACCTTCATAGCACTATCTTTCTGAAATTAGCCGGTTTATTTTCTGGGGATAGTGTGGTTTAGACCAGGGACTGGCAAGCCTTTCCCATAAAAGGCCAGATAGTAAATATTTTAGACTTTGTAGTGCCAGTAGGAACTACTCAACTCTGCCATTGTAGCAGGTAAACAGTTAAATGGATTAGCGTGGCTAGTTCCCATAAAACTTTATTTATGGACACTGGCATTTGAATTTCATGTAATGTTCACCTGTCAAGAAATATTCTTATTTGATTTTTTTTCAACCATTAAAATTGTAAAACCATTTCTTAGCTCTCAGGCCATTCAAACACTGGCCACAGGAGGGCTGTTGTTTGCTGATCCCCGACTTAGAACACAGACAACAGACCCATAATGCCTGGGTTAATAATTCTGGCTCCGATATTTACTAGTTGTGAAAAAGTTACTTAAACTCTGTGCCTCCATTTTCACAAGTGTACAGTTGGAACGCTACCAGCCCTAGCTCATAGAGTTGTGAGGGCTAAATACGTGCGAATTTATAGACACTTAGAATGGTGCCCAACACACAGTAAGCACAAGTGTTTGCTGTTATTATTTATGAGTTTATCATCAGGCAGTAACCCATGGGCCCCCAAACAGCAGAAACCTTGTCTTTCTTATTCACATTGGCTTAATGAACATCTTTTAAGTAAATGAGCACATATAGACTCCCTACGGGAAGACAGGGTAGGAAGCGACTGTGAGTAGGGTGCCCAGATAGGCAGGCTCCTGAGGATGGCAGAGGGGGATTCAATGCTGGAGGCAGGGAAAACAAATCAACCAGGCTGGAGATGGAGCATCTGCTCAGTGGGAATGCCACCCATACCTAAGGGCACTGCTACCCGACCTGGCAGTGCCAGTCCTTGACATCAGAGCCCCAAAGAGCTTGATGTCTGCAGGGACTAGGAGACTGAAAGAACAGGAGGGATAGCGATCAAGCACAAGGGCATTCAAGGTCAGCGACAGCAAGGTCTTGCTGAGGAAACCTGGCGACCATCACACTCTCTTCTTACCCTTCCCACCCTTTGCAGGTCCCGCCAGCCCAATGATGAGCGGAGCCAGAGCCAGGCCTAAAGTGCCTTTATTTCTTTCAGTTATGCTTGTGGCTGGAGTGGGGGTGAGGGAAGAGCCCATGGCCCGGGATCCCCGGAGACCAGGGCTGATGATAC